TTTTTGGATTGGTTTAGAAAGTTAAGATAATTAAGAGGGATGCATGTGATCGATGAGCTTTTATCATAATCACCCATTTGAAAACTTTTTTTTTTCCATATATTGGTGAATCTTTGTGGTCGAAGTGAATTTGAACAACATTCCAAAGAAAAAGGGTCCCATATTATCATTGCATGTACATGCCATGCTCTATCATTTGGGGTTTGGTTAGAACTTAGAAGGGTTTTGAAAAAAAAAAAGAAAAAAAAAGATGCTTTAAAATGAAGATAGGTTTTGAGATTGAGAGTATGTGTAGGAATGAAATAGACAAGCAAATGATTTAGACCTTCCAAAGCAAAGGGATAAAAAAAAGGTAGGGAAACTCAGTGTGAGTGGGGGGGACGGTTTTGGGAAGCTGCCCAATTTCAGTTCTAGGTAAAGAGAGGATGATATAAAGCAAACTTCACAGTCATATATATATATATATATTGCCAATTGGTGTTTAGATTTGTGATTTCAGATGTTTATCCACTTCGTTTTCATGCACGATAAACAAAACTTTGCTTAAAGGAGTAGTTTTCAGGTGGAATATGTCCAACTCAAGAACATCAGCATGAGTTTTGCAGATATATTAATTCAGCTATAAGGCAACTGAGTTTGATATTAACCCTCAGAAAACCAAGGATCAGCCAGCTAGGCAGGCAGGGACCCCTCAGGCTCAGCGGAAGAAGAAACATCTGGGCATATATACTTTCTGCATTAACTTTTCCTTTTTGGATATTTTTTTCTCTCACTAATTTATCAGTCACATTCTTAATTGGCTATTTTTAGGGTAACGATTGCATTGGCTATTTTAATTTAAAATGCTTTTAAACCAAATTCTTGTCTTTTTGTTTTGACTGTCAAAGAGAGTTAGAAAAATATAAGTAAAAATGTCGAGTTCGATAACATTTTCCGGTCTAGCCTAGATTTTCCCTTGTTTAGGTTAGAGCTAGCATTTCCTTTTATTCCATGTGTCTTGCACCAAGTTTTAGATAATTCTTGCGCCAAAAATACAATGTGATGATCATAGTGTTTCTTATATTCCCCCTTAAAATGCATTGTGTTTTATATTTTATATTGGTTTCCTGCCTTTGAATCAAATGAAAAGACTAAATGCCATGAAAACTGGCAAGAAATTCAACCTCCTAAGGAGGAAAAACTCAAAAATAGCCATCATTTCCTTTTGGAAGATGAGAAGTTCACTTTAATATATTCGTGTGTGTTTGTTGGATACTTGTCTAAAACCCTAGTCTACATCTTAATCATAACCTTCATCTTTCTCTTTTTTACTCTACTTTTTCTGGCCAAGCCTTTCAAAGCTTATAATTACCATTGCTGGTCATTTCTAGAGACATTGGAGGACAACCAACATACCCGTGGATGTCCTATGAATCATCACAATTGATTTCTTATTTCTTTGCTTCTCTCTCTCTCTCTCTCTCTCTCTCTCTCTCTCTCTCTCAGGCAAGGCAGGCTCCTCTACCTCATCACTCGTCAACCTAGCTATTTGCTTTTCAATTAATTTCATGCTTCTTTGCCTTCACATGGTGTCCAAAAAACATTTTAGTCGTTACATTTCATGATTGTTAAACGCGTAAGGATAACCTTTTTGCTCATGACACAGCCCTAGCTTATTTAATTGATCTTCAATAGTTTTTGGTTTTTGCATGAAGGGCTTTGTTTTGTTTCTCAAATTCTCAAATACCAAATGCAGCAAAAAGTCTTTTGGTATTTGACATTTTGGTTCTGTTGAAGACTCAAAAGATAGACAGGGTGAAGACTTGAGGGAAAGCAAACCCACTATGCTGATGCTTTCCCACCAAGTAGCAGTGCCAGTGTGGTTCTGGTTGAATTGGTGGAGGAGCTCAAGGAAATGATTGCCTTGCAGATGGTGGATCCAATCCAACTATGCAATTTCTTTCCCTGCAGAATTCTTATATCTAAAAGAAATAAAGCAAAAGCATACCCACCAAGAAACACAACAAAACAAAAATAAAAGCAATTCAACTTGTACGTACACTACTTGTTTCTTTTGGTCTGAGCTTTGGTTTGCCCCATTATGATATCAGAGCCCAGAGCCCAAACCATTTGGTTAAAAAACCCATGCGAAGGCTAATCCCAAACCATTTGGTTTAAAAACCCATGCCAATACCCAAACGAAGAAAACCAACTCACAATTCATAACATAGCAAGAGCAACCATAGGTAAAAGAAAAGAAAATTGGAAGCAGTCTAACAAGAAAGAAACTTAACAGCTTAAACGCAAGCATCATATTATTATTACCCATGTTCAACGCAACCATATAAATTTAATTTAAAAGCAAATTGGTCTCTTGCAATCCCTAAAAGCCGAAGAAGATGAAACTAGGGCAATTAAAAAAAGCACAAGCAAATTTGAAGTCAGAAACAATCAACGATAGCGAGGAAGAGAAAGGGTGTTGTTGCTCTTCCAGTTTGCCCTCCTGGAGGGTCGTGCCTTGTGGTGTAAGTGTCCCTTGCCACATAGACCTCTGTTCTTCTTTCCAGCAGAAGTGAGCCCACGAAGCTCCCTGTGCTTGTGGACAGGGTTGCAGATCCAATTGATCCTGGGGTCATTGCGGATGGCATTGTGAGCAGCATCAACCAAGATCACCTCAAAATATTTGTATGTCGAATCCTGCAAGAAACAGAGTCAAAAGATATATTATAACATTAAAAATGTGCAATTCGAATCACTAAATATTTCTAGTTTTCTATAATTAATATAAGAATACAATACAATCAAGCTAAAGCACCTTGTGCATAGTACCTCATTAACCCAGTAAGAGTTGAGAACCTTGAGACCAGAAAGTTTGCGGCCTGCACGCTCCTCAGCAACAGAGCGCTTGCTACGCTGGAATTTCAATTGAGAAACACCATGGTTGGTGGGTTTGCCATAGACAATGCCCTTAGCAACTGGTCTCTTACGCCCGCCACGCTTCACGCGCACCCGATAAACCACATAGCCCTGTAAAGAGGACAACTTTAGTCACAAAAATAACAAGTACCAGTAGCAAGTAGAAGAGTTATTGTAATGGATGAATGTCAGAGATGAAGAGCATGATGTAGTGACCTGCTTGGCCTTGTAACCTAAGCGGTGAGCCTTGTCGGGGCAGGTGGGATGAGTGACACGCACAATGGAAGGTTGGTGGCGATACTCGAAGGCTCTCAGCCTCTGCAGAGCCCTCATAACATCCGATTGTTTCTTCCTCCCTAACTCTGAGGTGTACTTGTAATATCCTAATAATATCAAAACCCCAAAATGTACATCACATTCAAAACAGAGATTAAAAGAGATAACAAACAAGATATTCATATTTGATCCAACCTAATCTCAATCCAAATCAAACATAATTCGTACTCTTTCTAGCCCGTAACAGCTCAAAGATGTTCACATTTTTTATTTGAAAACTCATCCAAATTGCACTCATGGGTGCAAAGAATAAGTTAACATTGTACAAAATTTCCTTTAAGTTGGTTTCTCCATTGTTAATTTACGCCTAAAAGAACTCATGAAATGAACATTTTGCAAACCAAAATAAGGAGGTGAGTTTTGGTTTTGATCTTCCAATAAATCTTAACTATTTTTTTTATTTGTACATGGTAAAATGTTCAGTGATGTTACTAATCTTTGATTTGATGCAGAGAGGCTCTCTGCAATACGCAACAAGTTATGATTGCGTGCATTGAAAAAGATACAGACAGAAGGATTAAAAGATGTATGCAGAAAATAACGTACCCATTGCTTTGCTACAGAGTATACAGCCACCGCTTTCTCTTCCTCCGCCTGCAGTTTACGACAGAGAGAAGTTCTGTTATATATAGGTTCTGGGTCCAGGGTTTTAGAGTATTTTAGTGTTGTTTTTTCAAATGACCAAAGTACCCTGCGAGGACTTGTTAGGGCTAATTTAGGGTTGGCCAAGATGGGGCTGCCTGGACTTCTGCAGCCCAAACTTGTGTAGGAATTTTCGTATTGGGTTGGCTTGGGTTACACAAGTTTCGTATTGGGTTGGGTTGGGGGACAATGGAATTTCCTTGGAAAAAATACTTTAAAAATAAAATAAAAATGAATGGTTTTATTTTATATGCATTTACAACAAAATATAAAGGATTAAATCATTGTAGTGCTCCTGATAGCATGTTCCTTATATTTTGCGTCTCACTTTATCTTTACCGTCAAGTCCCATAAAAATTCCGTCAAAATCGATGTTGTGACTCCTACATGACAAATAAAATTAGAGAGGTCATATCAATTTCTATCGAGTTAGTAACCGACTTAACGATGAAGAGATAAATTAAGACATTAAACTCGATCGAGGGTCGGAGTAAGGTGCTTCATCATAACTATTAAGCAACAATAAGAAATTGGACCATAATTACACGCAGAATAATTAAAGCCTAATATTAAATATTTCGACGCATTTTCCTGGCAAAGAAAAATAAATATTTCAACACATTGTTTTTTTTTTTTTTTTGGGATGCTTTTGGGAAGCTTAAACCCTTCATCCTCTTGCTGATATGTTGTGGGGATGACAAGACTATATAACTAAAAACTGGATTTGTTCTATTCATCATATATATCGTGAGTGCAATATGATAGCAAATAGACTAGTTGAATTGGGTTCATGTCTTGAGTTGAGTCTGTCAATATTCCATAATCCTCCTGGTAGTATGAGGTCCTCTCTTAATAAAGATCTACTTGGAATCTGTAGACCTCGAGTCACTCTTTAATTTCTTTGTTGAGCGTTAGGTCCGTTTCTTTAAAAAAAGAAAGTTATGAACATAACAACAACGGACGAGATGTATATCCAAGCAAAAGAATAATCAAGAAGACATAGGAGAGAGCCACCTCCACTAAGAACCAAAAATTGGACAGACAGAGAGAACCTTATTATTTTTTTATAACACTTTCAATTCAAGAAATAAGAAGTGTGACGCCAATGGAACTTTTGTACCATTCCATTTTAAAATAACCCTATCCATTCATGTCCTCGAGAATATCAAACAAAGCAGGAGTCAGAGAGACAAATAAAGGGATCCCACAACTCTGCCTCTAAGATTAGATTACAATTGCATAGAAAAGGCAGGATTCAGAGAGACAAATAAAGGGATCCCACAAACTCTGCCTCTAAGATTAGATTACAATTGCATAGAAAAGGAAGAAGACAAGAGATCCAGGGTCTGAGTCTGAGAGAAGGTATGTGAAGAAAAAAGATAAGAAAAGAAACTCTGAAGATGATGTTTGGTGGAAAAAGCATGGGAGGTGGAGGAGGAGGAGGAGGAAGCATGTTCAGGGCTGTGAGCAGAGCAGCAGTCACAAGAAGTGTTGCTGGTGGCCCACCAATGCAAGAACCCCTTTCTTCTTCTAATTCTAATTCTTCTGCTACTAACACCACCACTACTGCAACTACTTCAACTTCTAGGCACACCCAAAAACCCAGTTCCTCCAATAACCTCTCTCTGTCTTCACCCACTTCACCTTTTGCTTCATACAACCTTCCTCTGTCTGCCAATTCTGGCATACCCAGCTGGCCTTCTTCTCCTCATTTTGATGACTTTGATTGGGTGACTGTGGATAATGGGAGCAGTGAAGAAGGCGATGAGAGAAGACATGGATTTCTTGAGGATTTTGTTCTTGGGCCTGTTCCTTCCAGGGATGAAGTTCAAAACGCTGTCTCTGCCCTTCAACAGTAAACAACTCATACTCTTGTTTTTGATACAATTTACAATCCTTTTTGGTTTTTTGTTTTTCTGTTATAACAATGCCTTGTTTCATGAAATTGGTAGGGTTTTCAGTCCTTCTTCTCGTGCCCAGTTCATCAGGGATAAATATGCTTCTGAGTTGGAGAGGGATGTGTCTGATCAAATCACAAGTGCCTCAGCTGGTTTGGTGGACAGAGTGTCCTCAGTTGGGTCAGAGTTAGATTGGATGGAGCCTTCTGCGTATCTATGTAATTCAAAGATGTTGCAATCTCATGCTTCTGAGAGAGTTTATGATGCTTTCCATTTATTGCAGACTGAGTCATCCGTGCAGGTCCCTATCTCTGTTGACCCTTATATTACCAAAAAGAAACTATATGAGATTAGAGTTATTTATTTATTCATTTTCTGAATAGTAGTTTGCATAGTAGAAATAAATTTAACAACTTAGACCATTGACTCTGTACAATTAATTATTTGTTTTGCAAATCACTTCTGCCTTGCAGCCTTGCAGAGGGTGAAATATACTGTATCCTGTTTTTGTGCTGTCTAATCTCATCATATGAACTTTGTACAATTATGATAAGGGTATTTTGATTTTCTTGTGTAGAGAATGGTGATCTCATTGTCATCTGATAGAGCAGTTTGGGATGCTGTGATGAACAATGAGGTGGTGCGGGAGCTCAGGGAATCTTTCTATGCAGGTTGGTATGATATGAATTTCACTAAGGACTATGATAGTTTTTTTTTTAATCTTTAAGCTTCTGTTATATCTTATATGTTGATGCCTCTTTTAGGTGTTGTTTTCCTGGCTTTAGTTACCTGTTTTTCTTGTTAATGTATGTTCCATGTTGAGATTAAGATGAATTTTGTAGCTTAGAGCAATAAACTTGAAATCAGGTTTTGCTCGTTTCCGTGACAATTCTTCCATTGAAAATACATAGGGAGGGTTTGATGAATTTTAGACTTCTAATTTAACTAAGCTGAAAATCATGTAATAATTGGGACCTGGGAGATGAAAACCTTTTCAATGCTCACAAGATCAATGAATGCACACATGAATAATGCTGGTTTGAAAATATGCAGCTGAAGACAATAGCTCCCAGAGTACTGATGAGGACGCCGATGATAAAAATAAAGCAATGAACATTGTGAAGTGGATCTTCCAAAACACCATGTCGAAAGTCATGGAAGTAATTGAGAAAATTACAAAGGTCCTGGGTGACTTAATTCAACCTCCAGGCAGTGAGAAGGCGAATGCAGGAGCTAGCAATCGCTTTGAGGAGAAGCTGAGAACATCGTTCATGCTCTCCGTTGTGGTCCTCTTGGTTGTGGTGGTTACTCGAAGCCACAAGGCTTGACCCTAATCCGATGACATCACAGATAGTATATCCCCATTGGATGGATGCCTTGCTGTTGAAATTTTCCACTCCTTTGCACTGTTATGCATTTTATATTTCAAATGCTTTGTTATGAACGTCCAGAGCTGGCATATGGGAGTTAGCAGGTTGCCTGCAATATGGGGATTTGTGGCATATTTAGCTATGTTTTGTTGAATATGCCGATGATTGATCAGTTAACATTTTGTTCATTGCCAAGAAAGTGAGTCGTAGGTTTTGCTTGCATTCTCAAGCCCTTAAAACAGGGTTATTGGGTGGTGGTTCTAAAGTTTTAACTATGATTTCCATGGTTTGCAATAGATTAGGTGGATGCATAATAATGGATCCTCTCTCTGATCATATTAGGGTTTACCTGTAAAACGTACCACCTGAATCTTTTTGTAAAAATTAGAATTTTACAATGAAAAATAGATCATTGAAAGAGAATAATATCCTGGTCTTTTTACTAGAAATTTTGTCAAGGTTAAAATAGATCCAATATCACCTACTAGCTGCACCTACCACAACCGTTCACATTTCATCACTTAGAACCGTCAGCAATTCTAGCAATATGTTCAGACTAAGCTTTTCCCTTTACAGATCTACCATTGCCAGATTTCTCATGTGCTTAATTCCCCCCATTTACACCTCAATTTGCACATAATTCGAATTCGGGCAACTAAAATCGCTGCACTTAATCCAAGCTAATCACATTTAGGAGGGAATCTACATTAGGAGTTACTACAGCTCGGTGGCTGATCCCTCCAAGAACACAACATGTCTTCTCCAGAGTGTTGATTACCGCAACATCTTCATCACATAGACAATCTGAACCAGGTGAAACCTGCATATACCATAAGCACAAAAGAGACAATATTTTTGTAACATCCCCAATGTAGCTCATAACGAACACATATATGACTAGAAAAAACGATGATAAAAAAATTTATACTGATAATCATGGTTTTCTTTTAGCTTTAAGGCGAATGGCTACGACTCACATCACAGAGGGTATTTCCGAGCTTCAACTTGATTGCTCCACTCTTGTAGACTAGCATTTTACCCATATATCCGCCGGGCAGCTCCTCCAAACTACACCCCTTCTTTGGAGCACCAGTGCTCTCCAGTGATGTTGAGCTTCCAACTTTCTCTTTTCCCTTTGCAGTAGCTGATCGCTTGGTCAGTGGCAAAATGGTAGGAAGTTGAACAAACAACATCCTTGCTTCCACTTTTTCCTCCTGTCAACAAATTTTAGTAACATCCCATCAAATATATCACTCTGTTAAGTGTTAACAGTATGATTTCAGAGAGGATATGTTTATCATTAATACTACTAATCTAATACCCACCAGCAGCCCAAGTTCTGCAGCATGGTTTATAGTGCTCTCATCATACTCTTTTTCGGCATCCTTCCCAAATTCATTCTCATTAAGGACTTCTAAAAGAAAAACAAGCAAATGGTAAACACTTAAGAGTGGAAATGAGAATGAAAATCATCATTACATTTTTGCTAATGCAAAAATCATAAGATCTATGAATTACAAGATTAAGATTATTAAAAGTGCCATTAAAAAGACTACCTGGGTCTCCAGAGTTGGGCTTCCTTAGAGGGAGAGTAGTAGGATAGTATGTAGTCTCAGAATCCTGTAAAAGCACCAGAGAAGCCAGATACTTGGTGAGAGAGAGAAGATACGAGATGTAGAGAGAGTTACTTGGGGGAAGGGGTGGGGTGGTGGTTTGTGTTCTTACCCAACATTCTGTATATCTTTGCTTCACAGTCTGAAGAGGTGCTACATCAGTAGCATCTTCCATGGACACATCTTTTCCAACTTCAGGCAAAGTTGGTAGACTTTGATCATCATCAGAGTCTACGAGTACTGAGCTGCTGCTTTTGCCAGTATTACAATCCTTTGCAGTTCCATATGTTCTAATAGATGTTGAGGATATATCTGCTCCTGGACCAAATGCAACTCTCACTGAAGCTGCAGTTTGAATAGCAAACGTCAATCGAAAGCTGATCCAATATGATCTTAAGAAGTAATTAACCTAGTTCAGACTCCTCTCCATCTGGATATTTGGATTGGTAATATCCATCCTATTCAGCTACTCAGCCATCAAGAACATGCTTTCCTATTCCTATGAAATTTAACAAGCAGAGAACAACTACTTATAATATTAAAGAAAATCTAATAATTATAAGCAACATGACAGATAATATGTCACGTTTATAATATGAAAGCAGAGTTAATGAGAAATTACATTTCTTTTCGACTTTAGCCCCCCGTCTCTGGAGATTCTCCTGTAAATGCAAGGATAAAAATCAATTATCTGTTCAGTATATATACATTACTGAAAGATGATAAAGCCGAATTATCCAATATCACATTCTATTGACAATTTCCAATGCAAAATAGATATCATGAAAACGTAAGAGTAACTCAAGGTTATAAAGTTCACAATCACATTCAGCTGCACATATTGGCAAAACTGGGGAAGTCGCCTGGCTACTGATCTACTGAGATCAATTGAACAAGTGAACATGCATGGAAGGTGAATTCTTTTTCCTTTCAAAATGCTACAAATGGGTTATTGGAAGTGAGTTAAAGCTCATATTGCAAGTGTCTTAACAATCAATCAAAACTTGCATTTTTCACCAAACAACATTGCCTTCCATTTTTTACAAGGAACGAAGAAAAGAAAATTTGTGATTACATCTCCAACATCAAGTTGGTCTTTTCATTTGATCTTTTCTGCCAACCCTAAAGGAAAATCTTTTGTTTTCTTTCCTTCTCTTTTCTGTCTAGATATCCAAAAGCATCCCCAAAACAAAGGTATAGACCAACCCAAAAATATCCATATTGTCTTATCTTGATAGCGCAACCAAACACACCATACGACCCAAACTGTAGATTTCACACCGCCAACCCTTTCTGAACAACCAAACAGAGCCTTTGGTGTTTAGTTAATTTTAATCAATCCCAAAGCTAATCTTTTTATATATAAAAAATAATAATAATAATTTTAAAAAGAAGATAAAAAGGAAAATTTACATTTTACATCATCATTATTTATTAAACAGCCCCAAAAAACATCAAATAACAAATGAATAAGTAACTCCATCAAAACACACACGAAGAAATTGTTGAGCATAAAAAATCATTACGGACAGAAAATGTTTAGTTGAAGAAAGAAAAGATAAGCTTACATTGAACTGACGAAGCAGATCCTCGGCCTTTCTGGCTTTTTCACCATCGTCATTATCACCATCCTCACTGCATTGATTCCCAGCACAAAACGTTAAAAGAAAAATTCATGTTAAATATTTCCAAGAATTGAAATGAAAGGGGATTTGAAGGGAAGGGTTTTTGAGAAATACGGTGCGGGCACAGGTGCTCCGGTCTTTTTGCGACCTTTCGGTATAAACTTGTGCTAAAAAAAAAAAGAACCAAGAAAAAATCAGGGCAAGAATTCAGATCTAAGATGGAATTGTAGTGAAATTGAAGAAGAAAATTGATTATAGAGAGAGCTGGTTGTTACCGTTCTCGGACGACCAGATGACCCGTCGTTATCCTTATCCATGGTTTTTCTGGACGAAGAAGAAGGAGAAAAATGAAAATGGAGAAGGAACAAAAAAACAAGAAACCGGCGAGGTTCGAACCTTGGCGCTGAGAGAAACGAAAAGACTTTACAACTACGCTGTTAGTTGTTGTTTGATAGAAACCCTTAAATTTCAATACTTAACCGTGGGAATTTTCTTGAATAACCAGTAACGCCACGTGTCAACAGATGAATTGTCATTAATGAAGCCCATTTTCCTTTCGGCAAACTAGGTACTCGAACTTCCCAAATTCCTTTCGGTAAAAAAAATAAAAAATAAAAAAACCCCTTCCCAAATTCCTATAGTAACTTGATTGGGGAAAAGAAAAGCTGAAGGGGAAAAAACATGGCATCTGGTGCAGTTTGGCTTTGCAGGAGGGGTGGAAGTACTCTTATTTCTCATCAAAAATTTTTCTCGAACTAAACGGCGCCCAAAAGATTAATGAGGAAGGTGAGCATCTTGAGTGGTTTCACTAGGCCCTCAGTCATCGCCATAACAAGCCGTTCTAATAGTTTCCAATATTCATGGTGAAGAATTAGGGTTCACTACTAGAAAATGATTTTCTTGGCAGCTCCATCAGTGAATTCATGTGGAGCCCCTTTTTGGTTTTTTGGGGGAGACTCTTTTTCTTGTACTAGAAATCTACCATGGTTCAGCCACGATTCTCTGCAACATCCTCAACTTACATGGTTATATAGCAATACAACTGCATGAAAATGAAAAGGTGGTGAAGTTAAAACCCGTCAGGGTTAAACGCTTGCTTGATTACGAATGATTTGTTTCACGCTTGTATTATTTAACAAAGCAATAGAAACTGTTGAAAAAATAGCGAACCTCTACCTATTTGAAAGTGTCTTCACTTCAACCGAACCCCAGCCCTTTTAAAAGTTGAGGGGTGGTAAATTCCAAGTTCAATTCAAATTATGGGTAGGATCCAATCTCTCGTTCTACTATAAACCGCATGATAGACGCAATACAACTCAGAATAGGCTGCCATACCATTTCATTTCCTACGAATACAACCAGTTGAGACAACAAAATAGGGTTTGAACGTTCAAGTAAAAGCTGAGCATGAAGCCAAAACTTTTAGAAAACTGGTTAATATTGCTGTGATTGTACAAGAACAGCCTACAAGATTCACAATTTGCCTGCTCACTGACAGCCCTGAGCCTGGCAAGAAGAGAAACATGATTCTAAGGCGGCCCTTTTGGGCTGTGAAAGTGCACTATAATTGTGATGTATATTATCTAGCGGCTTCATCCAAGAGGATCCGCAAAGCTAGAAACAGCATCCGCCTTGCATAAATTTGATAATGAAAAACCCTGTAAAAGTAAATGCTCACTGCCTAGTATATATATACACATTTGCGTTAGGATTGTGAACATTACATTCAGTGGTTGATCAACTCAACTTCGATACATCACTTAACCTGAAAAATTAACTAAGTCCGAGTCATGTGATTGCTCATCTGCAGACAGGGTTAGTAATTCACCATTGATGGAGGCCACGCATGTCAGGGATTAAAACAAAAATTCTGTAGGCCGTCTGTTTGTTCAAATGTTCAAGACAAAATTAAGATGTAAATTCCTATACAAACACTCTTACTGTACACATACACAAATCACATGTCAAAACAATCGATATAGAT